GCAGGCCTGACGTCCGCTGTCTGCCCTTCTCTCCGGTGTCGGGTCTCAGGTGGCCGGATCCCGTTACCGGCCCGGACATTCGGTCTCGCTGAAGAACACTTCCCTTTATGTCTCCTTGTGGTGCAGACGATCTACATGGATGATGGTGTGTCGTCTTTCGTCCAGATCAGAGGCTCGGTTCCGCTGTTTTGGGAGCAGCCAGGGCTCCAGGTAGGTCAGAAGAAGTCCTATACGCGTGTTACTGTTCGTCCTGCCTTCTCCCCACACGCTGTGGCATGTTTCTTCCCACCATGTTCTTTCATGGCAGTTTCTGGCCTTTCCCACAGCACAATTGGGTTGAGCCTGGTGTGTGTGTGTGTGTGTGTGTGTGTGTGTGTGTGTGTGTGTGGTGTGTGTGCAGAAACATATGCATTGTGTGTAATTTTCCGATCATGAACTCACTGTTGATGCACCTGCAGTGGGAAGTCTTTGCTGACAGGGAACCGTGTAATGTAATTAAATAGAATCACCTTGTTAGCTCCCAGATTCCGTACATGAGAACGTGTTCAAGGTGTTTGGGAGTCGTGACTGTCCTAGAGGGCTTTGTGAGGGCCCCGGGCTGGGCAGCGGGCGTGGTTGGCATTGCAGGGGCCCGTGGTACGGCCACGTGAGAATTGCACAGAGTCTTCTCGTGGTTTCTAAAAATACCCCTGCCGCCCACAACAGCGCTCGGGCCAGCGCCGAGGTATTTGGCGTCTGCCTCCTGGGGAGAGATCGGGGGTGCCATGTTCCAAGAGCACATTCGTTGTCCACGGACTGGCACTGCCTCGTTCACTGAGTTCCTACCCGAGGGGCAGGGGGCAGCGCCACTGCCGGGGTCCTGAGATTCCTCAGCACTATCCGGACCGTCCACCATCCGGACCGTCCTTCTGGCCTGAGGGGACGTTGTGCGCTCAGCAGGCCTCTGGCTCCGGGTGACCGCGGTTCGGGTGACTGAAGAGGCTCAGGGCCATCTCCCAGGTTCGTGGGGTGTTTGACAGGGCTGGGTCTTACTGGCCCTTGACTTGACCCCGTGTCACCGTAGGCGCTTTGTCCTCCAGTCTGTCGTCACGCTGCCGTGGGCGGACACGTCAGCTCTGAGAGTGAGATGGACGGATGAGCATCATCTGGGCTCCGAGTTCTGGGAGGAAAAGCCTCTCTAGCATCCAGCCTGCCCATTGGGCAGGAATGGCTGAGCCGGCGGGAACAGCTGGTGGCAGGAAGTGGCGGCAGAGCAGCCGCCTGAGCATGACTATAATGTGCAGAAATCCCCGGCGCGCACCCCACAGCTGGCGTGTGCAAGAGCTGCTGAGACACAGATGACATGCCATGAGCCTCGCCCGTGCAGAGCATGCGAGCCAGTGGTTCTCGTGCGTTTACAGAGCCGTGTAGCCATCATGGAATCTAATTTTAGAACATTTCATCACAGCTAAAACCCTGCACCCGTGAGCAGGGGCTCCCCTCCCTCCCATCGCTCCCCAAGGCCGAAGCAGCCGGGTCTCCATAGAGGGCCCCCTTCTGGCCAGTCCACAGAGTGACACTTGATTTTCTTTAGATTTGGAGATTTCCCCCTGAAACTTCCGGAGCTCTGCAAAAGGAAAGAGGGAGACCACGTTTAAGAAATCCCCAAGTTGGAGGGGATGGTCATGACAGAATCCTAGTGTTCGGGAAGGCGCTGTGGAATTCACCCACCTCCCCCAGGGCCGGTCCCTCTCCCAGAATGTCGGAGGCTGCCTCCAGATGCTGAGCTGGAGGCCACGGTGTGGGGCGTCTGCCTGGCGGTACCCTCTGTCTGTCCAGGTTATACGGCTGCAGAGCACGCCTGGCTCTGCAGACTGGCCGTCTACAACCATGTTTCTGGGACCCTCCGTGTCTGGTCTCCGTCTTCTAAAAACAAAGCAAAACCCATTTGTTGTTCGTTCCCTCTTTAGTTCTGGTCTCCAGTCTGGCCTCCCTTGGTGCAGCCTGCCCTGCTGTGGAGCAGCTGCCCCTCAGCCTCACAGTGTCAGCGGGACCTGGTGCCCCTCAGCCTGACAGTGTCAGCGGGACCAGGTGCCCCTGGGTCTCACAGTGTCAGTGGGACCTGGTGCCCCTGAGCTTGACAGTGTCAGCGGGACCAGGTTCCCTGGGCCTGTCAGTGTCAGCGGGACCTGGTGCCTGTTCTCCGGCAGCTGGGGCACCTTTCAGATCCTAACACCAGTGCTTCTGCAGAGTCTCCGTGCGTGGTTCCTTCCAAACACATTTCCAAAGGCTTTGTGTCCATGAATCTTATGAAGGATGTGCTGACCTTTGAGTCTGATGGGCACATGCATCCTCCAAGGGGAACTGGGCTGCTCCACGGGACCAGCAGGCTGTGCTCATGGTGGGCCTCCCTCCCTCCCTGGATGTGTGAAGAGCAAGCCTGGGGATGGATGCTGGTTGTCTTTCTCCATGTGGACCTTTCCCCTTCCTTCTTCGTTTGGGTTATATTATAAGCACAAATATGTTTGGGCGAATAGTTTGCATTTTAAGTTGCACTGTTGCCCCCTCTTGGGGCTGCCCCAGGGAACCTATGAGCCTTGTGGGCCCAGGGTGGGATGGGGGATGGAGAGGGGGGTGGGCATGGGCAGAGAGGATTGTGGGATACTGATTCCTGTGTGACTTTTCATAGGAATGGTACCCTTGTTAGGAAGTCCTGGATCCTGAGGCCATTTCCAGCAGCTGTGTACCTTTCACAGTTCCATCCCCACCATGGCAGTGGGTTGCACAGTTTATAAACAGCCACATTGGAAATTTTACCCCTAAGGCTAATTGCTCTCCTGGAGTGTTAGTTATAGGGTAGGTCTTTTACATATTGTGTGTCTGTTGAAGACTTTGCCCCCCTTGTCACTTAAGAACCTCCCCCCGCCACGTCACGTGCACACAGGGACCGCGTCTCGCACAGGTGCGTTAGTCTGAGTCCTGAAGCTCCCTGTGCCGCCCCAGCCGGGGGAGGGTGCAGGGTCGATGAGCGCCTCTGCCGTTCCCACACGGCCTGCATCCCCCGCCTCCCCTGTCAGACTGCTAAGCTCTCGGATGCGTCGTGCTGTGCTCATTTGTGTGGTCCTACTTTTCTTTGTTCCAAAATGTGAGATGGCTTGTAGAGCAACAGTTTCAAAAATGACAAAGAGGTTGGGGTGAGGGGAAAAATACAACGAGCATGAACTGGAGCCGCGATAAAGTCGCGGACGCGTGTTGTCCATGGGTCTTGCGTGCTTGCCTGAGTGTAAGGCAGACGTCACAGAAACAAGATCACTTATCCTGTGATTAAGAGCCTAGACTAGAGCCTTGAAGTTATGCAGACCCAAGTTCTAGTCAAGTTCTGATTCTCTTAGGACCCATGTACTTTTTAAAATTGAATTTATTGGGGTGACATTATGCCGGGGTCCAGCCCCAGCGGGTCCAGGGGTCCAACCCCAGCAGGTCCAGGGGTTCCCCATAGGTGCGGACGGAGGCGGCAAAGAAGGAATGACACGGAGACAGCGTTCAGTTGATCAGCAGCCTTGCCAGGATCTCTAGCCACAATCTCCAGCCAAGTTCTGTGTCTATGTTCTCTTGCTAGGTTCTCTAGCCACGTTCTCCAGGTTCTCCAGTGAGGTTCTGTAGCCATGTTCTCTCGCTAGGTTCTCCAGCCAGGTTCGGTTTAGGTTCTCCAGCCAGGTTCGGTCGCCAGGTTCTGTAGCGTTAGGGCGTTTCTTATCTCCATTCCAGGGAGTAAAGATTATGTAGCTTAAGCATGATTGTTCGTAGTTAAAGTGATTAATTACCCGCCTGGCAGTTAAGAGGTTTTATTCCCTCCCTAACTTCAGGGGAAAATCCCTACCTGGGGAAACAACCTTTCTCAGAGAGGTGACCTTGGACCGGCTCCCGGCAACATTAGTGAATAAAATTATACAGGTTGCAGGTATACGGTTCTACAAGACGTCTGCATTGTGTTGACTCTCCCAAGTCAGATGTCCTTCCATCCCCCTGAATCCCCTCTACCTCCTTCTACCTCCCCCCCTTTCCTCTGGGAATCAGCCCACTGTTGTCTGTGTCCATGGGAACCACACATTTGTGAAAAGTTCTAATCTCAAAAAAAGTTCTTATCTCAGAAGAATGTGCTTATCTCAAAAATATTATCTCAAAAAATGTTCTCATTTCAAACAAGAAGTTCTTATCTCAAAAACAGTAGAGAAGTCCATATCTTCACTAAGCCTCAGCTTCCTCTTCTGTAAAATGGAGTAAACAATACCGACCTCCAGGGAATGGAGAGGATTAAATATCGGAATTGAGCACAGTATCTCGGACCTAGAAAGCACTGGGAACGGTAGCTGTAACCATCACAAACATGAATTATAACATCTAGGAGGCGAAAGCTCAAGTTGCATCGCTGTGTGCCTCTGGCAAGGGAATTAGTTCCCCCTGCGCCTCCGGGCGGACACCGCCAGGTGCAGTGGCAGCGTCCTCACGCCTCTCAGGACGCAGCACAGGACCCGTCTTCCGGGCTGTTCCGTCTCCCAGCCCTCAGACACCCCAGAGCAGGCCGTCTGTTTGTCTCACAGACACTCAGTGAGCATCTGTGAATGTGTGAGGCAGAGCCCCTGGTGCCAGATACTGCATTTGGGGAGGAGGGGCCGGCATGACCGTGTTGTGTGCATAGAGCCCAGCTTAGGGGAGGGGTCTGAGCTCACTTGGAAAGGACAGGGCAGGACCACCAGGCACGGAAGTCAGGCCTGGCCAAGGGAAGGCGTGGTGCAGACGTAACCCCTGAGTGCAGGGCATAGGAGAGACGAGTTCTGGTCTGGCTGCCTGCGGTCCTAGGAGGGCCCTGCGGGAGATGAGACTGGGAGGCAGGCAGGGCCAGGTCAGACGGGCTTCTACCTTCTGCTGAGGAGGTGACAGTTTCCCCAGGAGCTGCCAGAGGAGTGGTGCCCAAACATCACTGCACATCAGAATCACCTGGGCAACTTCAAAGCTCCTGGTCCCCAGATTGCATGCCATCCCAATTCAGTTACAGTGTTGGCCCTGGCTGGTTTGGCTCAGCGGATAGAGCGTCCGCCTGCGGACTGAAGGGTCCCGGGTTTGATTCCGGTTGGGGGCGCATGCCCGGGTTGTGGGCTTGATCCCCAGTATGGGGCATGTAAGAGGCAGCCGATCAATGATTCTCTCTCATCAATGATGTTTCTATCTCTCCCTCTCCCTTCCTCTCTGAAATCAATAAAAATATATATTTTTTAAAAATCACAGTGTGGAGGTGGGAGCCAGGCATCAGCCCTTTCTGAAAACCCCTAGATGACTGCAATGTTCAGGAAGGCTTGGGAGCTACTCAGGGGTGTGCTGATAAACAGCTTTCTGAAGGCCAGGAGGGAGAAATCCCATTTGCAGCATTTGCCCATTACTGTAGTGTAAATACTCCCATCATGGCTGATGTCAAGCCACCAACTTGATGTCCCGGAACTTGGAGCTGGTGTGTGAGCTGGTAGCAGTTGGCTCCAGCACACACTGGACCACTGCACAGAAGGGTTCCCAGGGGTGGGTGACATGATTGGCTGTAAGTGTGATAGGGTTTAGTTTGGAGAGAGAAGGCTGAAGGTAAAGACACCAGGTGGGAAGTCACAGCGATCCAGGTAAGACGCTGGCAGCCTTAACTAGGGGAGGGGCAGTGGGTGCCAGAGGGATTGGCAGATGTCCTTGGTGACTGCGGGGCCCTCTCAAGGGCCGGTGTGGGCTCAGGGCTGACGCACAGCCAGGCATCCTCGAGATCTCGGTTATTCTCATGGCCAATGCCCCTGGGTGTGTGGTCTGTAGGATTGAAGTGACCACTTCAGACAGGAGTGATTGTCCAAGCGTCCATCTGGCCAGGGGGAGGGGGATGGGTGACGGAGAAGGAGGGGAGGCCCAATAAAGCATCACAGTGTGTTCTGGTTGCCGGTGCCAACCGTGGCTTAACTCCAGCCCTGACTGAAGGCTTCCGACATCTGGTGGCCTCAGGACTAGGTGCCACCAGAGAGGACAGACTAGGGTCAGTGTCAGAGAAGGAGGCAGGATGTAAGGCCTGAGGCAATGAAATGAAAAGAATGTTGGAGGAAGGATGACCTCCTGCGAGAGTGTCCTCGCCCTGTGGCTGTGCGGGTGTGAACACAGCCCCTCCCCCCACCCCGCCCCCAGCTGCTCACTTCCTCCCATCTTCTCTGCTCACAGGCATTTGCAACCTGAGCCAAAAGGGAACGGAGGAGGGAGATGAGTCAGAACCAGTGCTGCTCAGACTCCAGTGCTTGGGCACACGCGGAGACACGTGCAGACACGTAACACGCATGCACACACATGCAGGAGTCACCTGGGCGGCTCATTAAACATGGTGCTGCGGGTCCAGGGACCACACTTTGAGGACTGCTGGGGTCAGGGATCCTGACTGCCCTGGTCATTCGCTGGGCAGTGCTCTTGACTTCTTAGTGTCCCCAGGTGGGTTTGTGGTCAGCAGTGACTTTGGACTAAGCGCTGTCGGGGACAAAACATGCCTTCAGTGGTCCTGCCTGGCCCTGTCCACTTCGCTCCAGTCTTTCTCTGGTCCCCCGTGCTGTGTAGGTGTGGGTGTCAAGGTGCGCTCGCTAACTCCATCCTGGACTGGTTATGCAATTTGTCATGGGAATCAGGTGACTCTTATAGTGGGAGGAATTCAAGCCCAGAGGTGGGACACTCCTGGTGCAGTCATCCGTGACTGAATTCTACCGTTATAGAAGAAACAACCGTGGGCTGTGACTGGGGGGACCGGGGAGCAGATGTGTCCAGTAATAGGACTGTCACAACTAAAATCTAGGCCTCTGAGCCCTGAGCCCAGTTTTCCATCCTCCCCTTGCTGTGTTCCCATGGGAACGAGTCTAAAAACAGCCGCAGTATCCCTGAGGCTGGGAGACTTCTTGCCATGACTGGCAGATAGACTGACAGACTGACACAGCCCCTGCTCTTGGGGATCAGAGGGTGGCGGAAAGGATCCCATTTCCCAGGTGCCTTCCTTGTAAATCCAGAAAGAAGACAGGAGCCCACTTGCCTCAGGGGGCAGGGCAGAGTGTCTTCTCAGACTCAGCTGTGAAAGTGTAGGGGATTCAGCGTCTCACTTCCTCAGCCAGGTGGCGGCTGGCCGTGGGGAAAGGGGGAAGCATGAGCTCAGCCACCAGACAAGGGTTTGGCTGGAGCCTTTCTCCAGAACCCCAGGGTTTCGTCGGACCGAGGGATGGGGCTTATTCATAGACTCAGTCAGATGGGCCAGCCCAGCCCCAGTCTCCTCTGCATCCGGCCGGAAGCTGGCTTTCTGGACGGCTGCTCTCCTCAAGCTCGGAGCGGGACACAGGTGTTACCTGCGGGCAGGCGCTGTGGAGTGACACTTGGTACATGTTTGTCATAACTGCATCCGATCATCCTGGTGGGTCTAAGGACACGACTTTCATAATGTGCGCTAACGGCCCAAGCTAAGCGTGCATTTGAAGAAACTTTTTTCTGGAAATAACTCCAGGCCTACAGCAAAGCCAGACGAGCAATAGAGAACTGTGTGTCCTCCACCCAAATTCACTGTCACCATCTCCACACACATGCACATGCACACACATGCACACGCACACGCTATTGCTTCTTTTCTGAGTCAGTGAGAGGAGTTGCTACCTCGTGTCTCTACCTACTATTATGTCAGGACGTTTCTCCTAAGAGCAAGGACACGCTCCCATCTCCATGGTGCAGGCACGCATTCCGGAAGTGTCACACGGATGCAATGCCGCGATGTAACATGCAGTCCTCGTTCTGGACTTACCTGCTGTCTCGCGAGTCCTGGTGGCACTTTCTCCCTCCAGGCCAGCGTTACACTTGCAGGTAGCGTCACATGCTCGTCTCCTTCAGTCCCAGCAGTGCCTCCTGTCTGACGAGGCGTTCTTGGAGAATGCAGGCCTTCTTTTCCTTCATCTTATCGGGCTCAGGGTGTCGATCCCTGACGCCAC